GTCGAATAATGACCGTGAGTCATTTTTCGACGTCGAAAAATGACCCCTGGTCATTATTCGATGGGGGTCATTATTCGTCTTTACACCGGCTGTCCGTGTTCTGTGCCCTTAACGCGGATATGCAGTGTTTGTACGTTTTTGTGAGATCTATCACTGTTGATTGTCTTTGTCTCAATAATTATTATTTTGGTAAGAAGTAAGGATAGGACTTGATTGAAGAATTACAGAACACTGCTACACATTACTTAATTTTTCTCAATACAAATGTTTGGCCAAAATTATAGGATTTTCTGGAAAAAAAAATATACTTTCGATTTTTTCTTTTAAAAAGTCGCCTAATTTCATACATGATCTTTCAATTGTCCATCGATTTTCTGTCAATTTAATAAGATTTAATTTATTTAAATGAACTCCCTTTGATAAGATAGCTGTTTATCTGCTTATTCATTTTGTGCATGAGAATGGTTACGTCCGGGAAACACAGCAACAGTGCTTGGTTTGTTTACAAAAACAATATTTCGGAACTATGTTTTGACGTCGTTATTGTTGCAATATTCAGTAAAATCAGTTTCATTTTTACAATAAAGTAAAACAAGATTATCTCTTATGTTGGCTTTTTTCTTGGAAAACCCTTGTTTCTACATAAAACATATTGTCATGTAAATAATCTTTTAATGGGAGTAATTTTAATCAGTATTTCAAACTAGTCTCTACATGTAAGTGTAAAATGGTCAAGATTAACTGGTTTTCGCTAAAAAAAAAAACAACAACAACAAAAAACAGGCATATGTGATTCTCATTTTTCTTTAGTTTTTTTATTCTTTGTCTTAGTAGATATTAAAAATATTTTTCATGAAAACTGACATTACAGTTATTTCATCTTACAATTGTTTTAGATTTACACCTCTTTAAATCAAAAATAGTGTAAGTTTTGCGTATATGAAGGATTCCATGTATCAGTAATACTTGTAATTAAGAAATTTTAAAATTTAGATAATATATTTTTGATTGCGAGAGCCTAACTAGTTAACCGAGGAGGATATATATAAAGGGGGGGGGGACAAAATTATATTTTACATATTTGAAGGTCAATCACAATGAATGAAATACGAAGGTAACCAGCAGTTACATTTATCATGTTCAAAAGTCCAATGGAACAACCCAAATTTTAGCAGAGCAAATACAGACCTTAATCAAATTTAGATGTTACACTCTCAATTTTTTAAACTTCAAGTATTGTTTCAAAATTCTTCAGTACATTCTTGATTTTCAATAACTTTTATAATTTTGGTGTACTGTACATGTACTAATGTAATAAACAGCAACCTTAAATTAATATATTTTTTATGTGACAGCTTGCAAATATCAATTACTTACAACTTGCAATAATAAGATTTTATGATAAATAAAATTCAATTTTTCATCATAATGTTGTAAATTGTTATTATTATTAAAAAAAATTGCTTGTATTAAAAAAAAAATTCAGGTGAAATAAACAATTCAGTTTAAATTCAATATCTGATATATACGTAAGTTTTTCTTTGAAATTCTAGACTTATCTTTGCATAATTTGATTGGCCGTCGCAGAAGATAATAAAAGAAAACGGTCTCTAGTTAAATCACTTTTGACAGAATATGGAAGAAGGTAAGTTCTTATTTTTATCTAGGTTTGAATTATGTAATTTGCATTGACACCTTTTGCCGATGGGGTTCTAAATATGATATTTTTACGAAATCAACTTTTTCCAACTTTAGTTTATTTAAATTTCTTATGGATAAAGAAAGAAGTAAATCAATGGAACATTCTAAATTCTAATCAGTAATCGTGGTCTTTTAATGCGTTTAACTGAAATATATATAAAACAACATATTTCAGTGGCGATATTTATTTGATATTTCCCTAACATTCATCAGCTGCTATAAAAGAAGAAATTAGAGAAATAAATACTTCGCAATCTCTAAAAAATATATATTAGAAACAGAATGACTTTTACTGATTTCAAATAAAAAATCAGATTTGTAAAACATATCAATATCCAAAAATGTGGTTTTAATCTTAATTAGTGATCTCTCAGACTTTTAATCTATTTTGAATCTTTAAGGACTTGGTATGAAATTTTTATGGGTTTCAGAATTCCAATATCAGAGTATACAAGTAACAAATGATATCCAGATACATGAATCCTTTTTTCGATAACTTAATACTTATAATATAATTTTATAATGTTTGAAGCCTGTCTGAAACCTGAATAGATACCGTATGCACATAAGAATATCACTGAAAATATATGTACGAGGGACGTCTGGTAAAATCGTGGACAATTGTCTAGAGTGACAAATAATCCATCATTGGGTTCCGAAATTTTCATTACTCTTTTGCGCATTTTTCATCAATTTCAAATAGATGTTTGCTCAAATTAACAAACTATGTGATTTATGTTATGTGTGGTATCGCCTAACGTCGCACGGATGATTGCGTCAAAGTGTCTAAAGCAGTGTCACGTTTCCTCTTTGCTAAAAAAATGTTAGATACACCCCACCTAAATCCGGGAATTTCATTGATATACATGTACATACTTGAGTTTCCCTTTATTTCTCCATAAATAGTCGAGGAACCTATTTCGCACACACATGGGACCTTCTGAAGATTTACTAGTAAGTTATGGACATTACTCTTACAATCATTCAACTAAATAGGCTATCTTATATCGACAGTCTACAGTGACAGCGTCTTTCTCTATTGCTAGTAACTGTTTGTCCGTATGTTTTGTTCTATACGGAGACTATTTCAAAAAGCTTTCGCTTAGAAAGCTCCCATTTCAGTTGTATACTAAAGATCTAGTGATATATTTTATTTTTTTTCTTCTGTTGTCATCTAGAGTTTCTTATGGCTTCATTACTACATCTAAATCAAACTAAACTACTCTCCGGTGCGCCAGATAACGTCATCAAACGTCGCCATTTTTCGTGGGTTGTGTTTACCAAATTCCCATTTCAAATGTTTGGGAAACTGCCAAAAATTAAGCAAAGGCCTTGAAATTTCCCGAAAGGCGACATAATAGATAGTGGTTTAAAAAAGAATAATTTTACCCCAATTTGCTCTTTTTAATACTTTCATTTCGATTGATTGTTTGATTAATTGTATATTGTTTTACGTCCCGTTCGAGAATTTTTCCCTCATATAGAGACATCACCATAAACCGGTGAAGGGCTTCAAATTTAAATCTTTACTCGGCACTCAGGGTCATTGAGCAGTGAGGTTTCTTTATCGTGCCAACGCCTACCTTGACACAGGGCCTCGGTTTTTATGGTCTCGTCCAAAAGACCAGCAACCTTCACTTCAAAGTGCCGAGCGCTTTATTTCGAAATATTACTCGTATATTCTCTAATGATTTTATCTTGCGCTGTAGGATCATATCCGGTGCACATTTTAGCATAATAAAATCTTTATTTTTGTTTATATTTCATTTAAAAAAATTAAGAGGCACTTGATAAATATACATTTGCTGAAAATTTCAGCTTAGTGCACCCATTTTTTTCGATAAAAACGCTTTGTTCACTATTTTACCGGACTATCCCCGTAAACAATATTGAAATCGTGATACTAATGACTTTTCTTCTTTGCATTTTTAATTTACACTGAAAGATGTTTTCAAAGATTTCTCCATTTCAGAATTTTTATTGTTTATAAATACATCAGCAAACAGCATGGAATGAAGCTCATCTCCATATCCAACGACATGATTGTGGCTTTTCTCATCACCTTGCTATGCTTTCTTAGCTTGGGAGTACATAAAATCTGTACTCAAAATATAACAACGCCACTAGGGACCAAAACCTCTACAGGAACAATCACTACAATGATGGTTACAGCAAACACCAAAAGTAAATCATTTTAGTGAAAGCAATTTCCACGTGATATACCAAAACAAAAATTTAATTCTTTTAAGGTACTCCTAATGAGATGTAAATAAAGTTTACATGTTGAAGTTTATCTATCGCAATTCGAAGATTTATGAGTAGCACGTGGTAAAAAATAAATACGGCATATAGTGCATGTTTGAATTGAGAATGTCAGAGAGTGTGTAAAAGTTTAATGCTGCTAGAAGATTTAAAAGATTTTTTTTTTTCAAATGAAAAAACTAAATTCAGGAAATCAAAGTTATAATTCAAATGCTACATTTATTTATCTCTAATCAAAATTAACATTACAATTGATTTCTCTTTTCATTGCTTCCCTTTCAATTTTTAGTATATTAAGTAAAACAAAAGTTTCTTTACTTTCAAAGACAAGAAGGTGATTTAATGTATATTTTCTTCTTCCTCGGAAAAAAGAAAACATACAGTTGTACTTTTTTTTTTTTACAATTTTGATCTTAGCATTAGAAAAGAAAAAAAAATATCATATTGTTGCATACTGCCCAGTAATAGGTAGTATTACAATCTAGCATTACAAATGTATTAAATAAAAAAATTCAATCAAATTTCATGTTTTAAATCTTTTCATATGGACACAAAATGTACTGTAGTGGAAAGAATGCGTAAATAAATATGAGCAACCATCTATGGTTTGTTTAATTGTTTGGATTTTTTGAAAGGGTTGATTTGAAGATTCGGGGCAAGTAGTTTTTGGTTTGTATGTCCGTCCATCTGTCTAGCTTTCTGTCTCTTTGTCTGCAAAAACTTTAAACTTGCACAATACTTTTGAGTGGTTGATGCCTGTTCTTTTATATTACATGGCTCATATATAATGACTTTGACCTTGGAGTAAAACTTACTTTTGAATTAAGTTAACATAGAGCAATAATTTCTGAATGGTTGACGCTAGGGCTTTCATAATTCATATGAATATTCCCTGTTATACCCCCCCCCCCCCCCCCCATATTGCGTACCAAACTTTTAACTCTGATTTCTTACAGTTCTACCCACATGTGAAAAAACTTTAACCTTGGCCTTCAGCTTTCATATTTACATTTTATCATTTCACCTATATTGAAAATATGGATATATTTTCAGAATGTCCTTTCATCCTTATTACACCAAAATTTATGTCTATCTATGTCGGGGAAACAGCAAGATTTGAAGTGAACGAAGAAGCTAAAGTGCACCCTGCCTTCGAAGCAAGATGGCAAAAAAGGCAAAATTATTTTATTGAAAATATCAATATATCTAAAAGAAAGTACCAGAAAACTGAAATATTACACTCCCCTTCATTTGTCGTCAATAACGCCAGCTTTGAAGAAGAAGGGTACTATCGGCTTCAAGTGAGAATCTCAGAAGGATGGTGCACAAGCGATTGGGTACAGTTGGCAATCAAAGGAAGTAAGTATTTATGAATATATATAAAGATTAGAAAGGTCTGTCTTTGAAAAAAAGGCTTTGTTTATTTACTTTCCATCAAAACACTAGTGCTCCTTTTATTATCCAAAAAACTATCAAAGATATATTACAAAAATTCAAAGAGCAAGATTATTTTTTTTTAAAACAATCACAGATGGAATCAACTGTGTTTACTGTTTTAGGCTAACATTTATATGGTGCATATGTTGACTTTTGATATGATTTTAGATTTTGTTAGATATTGTGATGAAAAAAAACTATACATAATGACTGCAAACAAGAAAATGTTTTATCAACCAGAAAACCGTTCCTTATATGTAAAATTGTATGATTCTTAGCTACCTGACTAGCGAAAATCCAACATTTTGCATAAAAAGTTACATTCACCAAAATCTCTCCTCCCGGATGAATATAATTTGGTTATGTTTACAATTCTTTAAAAAAATTCCCGCGTCTCTGACTGGGTTCGATAAGGACATCAGTACATATAAACAAATAAAATGGCGATCTCTGCCTTAGTCTTTGTCGTAAAATTTAAGAAAACTGTCCCAGTGAGTATAAGGACTCCACAGTCTGTTCGAAATCAGTAGATTATTTCTTAATTATATCTCATACTTTCTTCATTGTGAAAGAACGCATGTGTGCAAGCCAAAATATTCTTTTGGCGGAATTAATTATATGACCGGGATTCATAATTATTCAGATAATTTTTAATAACAATCAGGATTAATATTTGCTTTTTCAAGGCATGTGAATGATTTTAAAGATTCCAATAAAAGAAGTGTTTCTGCATCATTTACCTGCATACAATTATTTGTAAGTTAAAATACTCTTTATTTATGCAGTTCTAAAATACCATGACAAGTGTAATGACACGAAAGAATGTGATCCAGGAAAATATCTTAGATGTTCTTCAGTGTTCAAGGAATGCCTCTGCGACAGTTCTTATTATCAACGTAATCAGACGTGTTTTTGGAGTAAGTTTATTTATCCTGCATTCAATATAGGAATGTTATATATATATATATATATATATATATATATATATATATATATATATATATATATATATATATATATATATATATATATATATATATATATATATATAAAACATTTTTTTTAATTTATGAAGTGTAGCAATCTAAAATCATAATTAGTTTTATTTTTAGAAGCAAGTACGAATGCTAATTCTGCATTTTAAGCTCACCTCAACGAAGTTGGGGGAGCTTATGTACATGTAATACACTCGGCGTCGACGTCGGCGTCCCAGGTTAAGGTTTTTGGAGCAGTTTTCTTTTCAAGTACTTCTATGGCCTATATTAGTCAGAGATGCATGGAGGTTGCTTCTAGTGTGTTTCATTGTACCAGTCAAGGTTTCAGATGCTGCAATTTCAGCTAAAGAATGACCAGATTAATGTTTTTGGAGCAGGTTAAGGTTTTTGGAGCAGGTCTCATTTCCAAGTAACTATAAGCCCTATATTGACCAAACTTGCATGAATGATACATCTAAGGATGCACACTACTGAACTTGCTTCGGATGCTGGATCTCACCTCCATTTTCCGGATGAGTGACCAGGTTAAAGTTTTTGAAGCAGATCTCATTTCCAAGTAACTGAAAGCCCTATATTGACCAAACTTGCATGGATGTTACATTTAAGGATTCACACTACTGGACTTGCTTCGGATGCTGGATCTGACCTATATTTTCCGGATGAGTGACCAGGTTAAAGTTTTTGGAGCAGATGTCATTTCCAAGTAACTATAAACCCTATATTGACCAAACTTGCATGGATGATACATCTAAGGATTCACACTACTGGTCTTGCTTCGGATGCTGGATCTGACCTACATTTTCCGGATGAGTAACCAGATTAAAGTTTTTGGAGCAGATCTCATTTCCAAGTAACTTTAAGGCCTATCTGAACCAAAGTTGCATGGATGATGCATCAAGGGACGAACAATCTCAAAACTTGCTTCGGATGCTGGATTTGACTTAAATTTTCTGGATGAGTGACTAGTTTTAAGTTTTCAGATAAGTCTATTCCCAAGTAACTGCAAGCCCTATCAGACCAAAATTGCATAAATGTTGCATCTAGGGATGCACACTCCTAGATTATTAATTTAGTGTGGGACTTTGCCTTACTTAAAGACAACATTCGTTGAGGTGAGCTCTGTAATCTCTGATTACCTATGTTTATTTCAAGCTTTTAATTTTTACGCAAATTTCAATTCCGTAAATCGGATTAACAAAAAAGTATTTTGTATTTTAGGACCTAATTTAGGAGCAAAGATCACAGAATATAACATAACTACACATGGCATAGAGTTGAAGTGGAGACATCCGTCCAGAGATTCTGACCTGGTACAGTCTTACAGTGTTGAGCTGAAGAGTGCTGAAAATTCTATTATAATGAAAAATGAATTTGTCGGAAGGCAAACAGATTACAAACTGAAGTCAGATTTTGTACCTGGTGCTGTGTACGTGTTTACTATTATTTCCACGGTATTACTCAGCGATCCGCAGGAAACCATCCATGTTCGCTCAGAAAACAGATATATCGTAGGTACGTCTGATCCATCGGTTCCGTTTTTTCCATTCATTAATTGTGTGGATATTTTATTAGAAAAAGACGTTAATGGTAATCTAATAACAAAGCTTTATGATAAACAAGATGACTTTCACTTTTCAATCGTCAACTTCCCTTACTTATGCAGCAATATACCCTTATCACCTGCATACGAGGTTTATATCTCTCAGTTGATTCGATACGCCAGAGCATGCTCTACGTATGAACAATTTCTAAAACGAGGTAAGTTATTGACAAAGTTGTTGAAACAAGAATAGCAACAGTCTCGTTTAAAGTCATCATTTCGTAAGTTCTATGGTCGATACAATTACCTTGTCAGCAAATACAATCTTTCATAAAGTCTGACAGACTTTTATCATACTAACTGTAAGGCCATTATTTACACACTGAATTGTCGCCGGATTTTTCCGTTATTTCCTGATCATGACAGGGAGCACACGGCGGGTGTGACAGGTCGGCAGGGATGCTCATTCCTCCATGGCACCTGATCCCACCTCTGATGTCTTAGAGGCCCGTGTTTGCTCTGCTCCTATTTTGTAATGTTTAATGGACGTTTGAGCTCAAATACTGTTCGTTATCTCCACATATTTCATTGGTACTGCACATTGTTTAGAAGTATATATTATTGAAAGTTGGGAATGGAAAACCAAATAAATGTTCAATTTGGAACTGACAAGATATATGCAGCTAAACAGTAATATTTCCTCGTTCTCTTCACATATTTTTCATTCTGCTTTGTTATATTTTTGCAGAGCCACTTCCTCCTGGCCCTATCTTTAGAAATGTTAGTAGCTTCCACCCAGAGAAATTAAACCTCACATGGTCTCTTCCACGAAACAACACTCGTGTTTATAAATATAGGATTACTATTGATAACGATTATTATTACTCATACTCCAATGCAATAGTCTGGTCGAATAGATTGGATCCCGGGAGAAATTATTCAGTCAGTCTTATCGCAATCAGTCGAGATGACTATTATGGCTACTACCCGTATGAAACAAAAGAAAGCGTTCTATACAAGGAACAGATAGAAACTCTACGTGAGTGTGAATTTATTTCAAATTCATTGAGTTAAGGCAAAGGTTGTTTCATTTTCTTATACACATTTTATGTATTTAATTCTAGATTTTGATATGAACAAAACAACTTGAATTCTAAATACACAATAATAGATGTTCAAAGTACAATAGATAAACCTACATAAAACATCTCTTGCTTTGATCAGATGCTACCAATGAATTATCCTTTCACGCCTTCATTTAAAAAGGGCATTATTTGATGTAATGATAATTTGTTGAACTTTTGCTGATGTAAATGTCCAAAAATAAAGATCTAGCATCAGATGAACCGTACAGTCTACCAAAAACAATATTGTTTTTAAATGCAAGTCATTATCTAACCTTCATATTCATCACACAAAGGTACACCTACATTAAACATTTCTTATGACGAAAACCCGATAGTACCATATCGTTCTACATTGAGGATAAATGCTTCTGTTCTAAATAATCCTGACTTCCCACCTGTCACCGAAACCAAATGGCGAAAGATCAAAAATGGGATGATGACCGATTTAGACACGACAGAAGAAAGATATAGAGGAAGTTTGCTGGACCTCGAAGATCCTCTTCTGGTCATCAACAGAGTGGACTTCGATCTTGATGGTGGTTTTTTCTACCAATGTCTTGCACTGAACTCAGACGGATGGGGGTCAAGTTTGAATTCCGTCAACGTAAGGGTTTCAGGAAGTATGTGTTCTCAAATGTAAGCTTTTGTAGCTAATGTTTTATATTTTCGAGTATCTAAATAATTGCAATTCTTCATTGACCCGTAAGTCATGTCAAACTTCTGTACTGATAAAGACCTGTATGTATTTTTGGAATTTTAAACTGTATTTACAATTGTTAATAATCAATACTTTTTAATCTGAATTCATGTATGAATCACTATTTTTCAGGCTTGCACTTTTCTGAGCCATGCAACAAATCTAGGGAATGCTTACCAAATATTGCTTTAGAGTGTCGCACTGAGCAATGTCTCTGTAATTCTTCTTTTTATCACAAAAATTCGACTTGTTATAATAGTAAGTGTCTATTTATCTGAAATAAATGTGATAAATTTGTTACTTACAAGATATTGCTCATTCATTAAAAGTATAATGCAGTTTTTCTCATTCAAGGTAACGTTCATGCACATATAAAATAGCGGTAACCGATTCTTGCAACATATATTACAACTTATACTGTATGTTTGTTTCAAACAAAAGGAAACCGTTTGTTGGCTGGATCAATTCAAATAAAAAGTACAACATGTAGTTTTTCGATTGAATGGAACCCGCCCTCTCAGGATGAGGAGCTGATATCAGGGTATGAGATAATCCTTGAAGAAAACTGGAGGTCAAAAGAAAACTTTCCAGTTGGAAATCAAACAGCGTATACATCTCTATGTAACCTTAGACCAGGCCGCCTTTATGAAATCCATATCAGGACCGAAGTTCAATTGAGCAACCCTGATCAGACCATTTACATAGATAACCCGAGGACTGAAGTGATTTTAGGTATTTTGTGAAGAGTTAACTGTTTACTTCATATCAATGTCCAATGAAACAATTCCATATCTATCTGGTAGGCAATTAAGATTCTTTAGTAATGTATTCATAATAACAACAGAAAGTTTTTAATTTTTTACTCGATTACCATGTATAAGCTCTCTTTTCAAGGCCAAATTACATATACATGTATATAACAATGAGTATAAAATGTAACAATTGTAAACATGTGACATACTGGAAACTATTTCATCTTTATATCATTCAAAAATCAATATATATAACGAAGATCGCAAATTTAAAAAAAATGGTTATAATTCATTTAGCTAAGTTCTCTTTGTTTTGTGTTCAATATAAATTATATTTTTTTCTGTAATAGAGCCACTGTCACCTGGACCATTATCAACTTCCTGCAATTTCTCCGCGGACAATTTATTTTTGAGGTGGACTGATTCAGAGAACAATAGCTTTGTTAACCGTTATAAAGTGAACATCGATGGCTATGAACAAATGACAGAGGGGGACGTGCCGGAGATATTTTGGGAGAAACTTCTGATGTCACACAACTATTATAACGTTACTATTACAGCATTAAGTTATGGATATACAACTAATTATCCTTCATATGGGGAACGTGAAAGTAAACCATCTGTTTATACCATAAAAACATTAGAAAGTAAGAATTTGTTCTTAAATCATAAACTATCTATTGAAGCATTCTAAGGTTATTTATCATGTAGATGTTACTTAAGTTGCATATTCCTAGTTACTCACAGGCACTTGTTTCTGTAATAAATGTTTTAACCCATATAGTTTAATAATAACACAAGGTATCCAGCTCCGAATTACGTGGAGTTCATGTGTACCCCCTCCTTAGAATCGCACTCATTTACACTTTCAGAGGAAATGCACTGACAAACTGTTTATTATCATTGTCTTCTACGTAAATTTTTCTACACAACCATTTAAGGCATGTTCATCTTTAATTTCCTTTGTCTCCGTAAACAGCGTCAAAACTCTTCTCGCAGAGTGGAAAAGTCGAATCACACTATGAAATGGTACATTAATATGCTATGGATTAAACAATTCATTACCGAAACAAGTGCCTGTGTAGTTACTGTATACCTTTATATTTGTAAAATATTAATTGTAAATACCAATGCAAGAATTAATATGCATGCATTCATCATTTGACGAAAAATTTCCATTCAAAATCTTTTATCATATTATTTGTGAAGTTCCATCTTTCAGATTCAAATTTTACTTGGGTTTTTTTTTTTTGTCAAAAACGTACCTTAAAGCAAAAAAGGTTTTCAATCTTCTGAATTTCTATTTCCCGAAACGTTTTCTTGATTTTTAATACCATTACAAATATTCATATCCAGAATTAATCATATCAAATATGCTATACAATATACATGAATTGATCTAAATAAAGAAATATAAATAATATTATGTGATCTTTCTCAGGCCAGTATGATGTAAATGTATCCATGCCATATGGAGACGGCGACTTCGTTCTCACTGGAAATGATAATACGAGTCAAAGATTAAAAGCCATAACTACAGCTTATATTGGTAACGGGTCGATGGAAGGGTTCAACAATGTCATAGTAAGCTTTAATTAGGTTGTTTTTTTCAGCTCTTCAAAATTTTTTCTTATTTAAATATTTTGGATTTCCAACGTTTCGGCATGAGCATCACTGAAGAGATAATTTATCGAAATGCGCATCTGGTGCATCAAAATTGGTACCATATATGATTTACATTATGACCCCTGGGTCAAGGCCTCAACAGGTGGACTGTTAGTGCCCGAGGGACTACAGTCCAGTAGCTAAGTACTTCAGTTCTAGCTTGAAAATACGAATATATATTTAATTGTTGTGGTAAAATTAAGAAATTTATTTCAAAATTAAGGATTATTTCCCTCATGCATAGCTCTGATCCTTCGACGTATTTGGCTCCAGTCTTTGATACGCTCTTTTTCTGCTCTTCAAAGTTTTTTTTTCTAATTATATGAATATTTTGGATTTCCATCGTTTCGGCATGGGAACTTGAACATCATTTGTCGAAATGTGCATCTGGTGCATCAAAATTGGTACCGTATATGATTTTTATTGATGTTTCTCTTAAATAATAAATAATCGAGCGAGTACAAAGAAGTCTGGAGTTGGATCTATGCTTTTCGGAACAATTTATTAGTAAAAAAAATATGTGTGAAATGTAACACAATTAAGTAAACATGTATTGCAATCCTTTTTTGTATATATTTCCTTTGTAGAAGTTGCTTTTCATATTATATTACAAACTATAAAGTATCTATTTCATATAAAATGTTTGAGTTTACGAAAATCTTTACATACGCTTTTCCATTTCTCAAATGCTTAGATTTTTCAATTCTTGTAGTACTTTATTTAGATCAGCATTTAACAAGCTCCCAAGAGCATTCTCATTTTTAAAAAAAAAAATATAGTAGAAAGAAATTTAAGCATTGAATATACAAACAAATATACTTCATAGTCCAAACCGATTAGGAAGTATCAATGTTAATCTGAAAACTTTGCCCTTTGCGTCTATGATGATATAGCAGTGTTTTATAGTAAGATATGTTAAATTTTAGATTGGAACAAATGGTATAATTGGACTGAATCCGAGGAGCGATAACTTTAATAGGGCTGACAATCCTGATAAACACTCGCTAAAAAAGAAAGACAAACAAATTATTTGTCCCTTTTGTACGGATTTATCATCAGACGCTTCAGGAAAAGTATATTTCCAATCTTATGAGAGGTATTTATATTTCCTATACTTTTCAAGAAACTTTTTTACATGATAAAAAATTTCTAGAAGACATTCACTTTCCTTTACATTTCTGATTGTAAGAAAAATGGATAAATCAATCTTCCCGTAATCTACAGCTTACATATATTGTAGAAAAGAGAATGCAAAAGACATTGCGTTAATAGAAAAAGCAGATAAAATTGTAAAGAAATACTTCAAGGATTTTAAAGATTTTGAAGCTACCTGGCTCGTGAAAGTGACGTGGGAAAATATGACACTTTTTGATCATAAATCACAGGTATTGATTTTGATACGATGTACATGACACTGAATGTATAATTTCATGACACATATAATATTTAATCTGCCTTCATACTCTTATGTGTAAAGTGTCGATGAACACTTATATACTCAGAACTACACCCTTATCTTATTTTTTTTACATAGCTTGGTAAAACTTAAAAATCAAACTTCATATTCCTGTAAGAATATCGACTCACTTGTCTGAGAAAGTATTTTAATCCATCCAGCAAGGTATTCCTATGGAAAACTTGAAATTTGGGTAAAACTGAGAAAACCAACAGTTGATTTCAATTGTTTAATTATTCATTAAGTATTGATGAATAGAAACATATCCAGAGATTCAATGTATATCAAATACTCTGAATGGTGAGGTTGAATAGATGCAAGCAGTTTGGCATTATTTATAGGAATGTAAGTAAACTCTGGCCAATAACAGCTGATTCAATAATTATTTCTTAATAAGCTGTTTTTAAGAGTGACACACGCTGATCATGCAGTATAAGAGACTTTCATTTTTCAAGTCTCATAAAGCACGATAAACTTTAAAAATATTCTGCGTTATATTTACTCTTAAGATTATAAAACATGTAATAAAATATTCTTAAGCGTTTGGTTGATCTATTTTTAAGGAGTAATTTAAGTTGAAAGATTAGAATAAAAGAATTTACGCAGATACTACAATAGTTTTTTTTTAATTTTAGAAAGTAACTTTCCAGTGTCTCCTGATATCAGATGGCGACAACACATTTACAGTAATGAATTATTTGGATGTGAATTTGCAGTCTATTAAAGAGCGGAAAATTGTTATAGGATACCGATACCGTAGCATTTCGAAAACAAATCCCTTTTCCCTTCAAGAGGGAGCTTTTACGATGAGCAAAAACCCTGGAAATCGAGGTTATTATATGTGTACTTTTAAATTTAAAACTTTGTAGATGCACAATTCAATGTATGTCCTATAATTGTTTCATTATGATTTATTTTTAAAAAATGTTATTTTTCCACCACGATAACGTGAGTGAATGTAGCAAACTGAACACTATTATAGATCATATGAGAAGTTTAATCTTTTTGACATTCACTGTACTTAGAATATTTATACTCTTTATTGAATTTTCTAACAGGTGAACCTGGTGTCTGGATCTACAAAATGACGGAAGGGGTACGGGAATTAAAAGATAAAGCAGCGTGCACAAAGTGGCATTTGGAAAATAATAATAATTTTGGTAACAGCAGGCCACACATTCAATGTCCTTGTCATAACAGGCTTCTCAAGTTTGACCCGCGATTCACCATAAACAGATTTGACAAAGAAAACAGGTTACTGTGCTATGCTTCCGTGATAGTAGACTCCAACATTGTAAGTATACAAAGATTAAAAATCCTAATTAACAAACATCTGATTTATTTCAAATAATTACAAACTGTTCAATAAAGAAAACTGAACCTCGGTAACTTTATCAAAATCTCGTTCTTAATCTCAGGAATGTTGCTATGATATGTACGCCGACACAAATAATTTAGGGCCATTACAACGATCAAAGCCAAAAGCAGGAACCATTTTAAAGTATAATCCGTTCTTTCAACGCCCCAACTACACCAAGAATGATCGGACACCAAAACATCAGTGCTGTAGTACAGGACAATGTGACTTGTACTACAAACTTCGTCATATTCCAAGTTGTTATAGGAGGTCTCCTTTTCAAACTGGTATATCAGAAGCATCTTTTATTATCAATTTCTTAACATATATATATATATATATATATATATATATATATATATATATATATATATATATATATATATATATATACATTATCGATAAAATAAAGTTCGATGAAGACATCGACTTTCCGGTAGATTTTTGTTATTTATGTACACGTCAGATACTCTAAATTGTTTATTAGTACTTTTGAAAACGCAATATATTTTTGCTGGCTCAGTCATTAGTCAGTCTGAAAATTAAGCAAATAGAAAATTAGCAATTATCGGTACTTATTTCTATTTTGCAAGAAAGTTTTCACACTTTGAAATAAAATTAAAACATTTCCTTTTTCTTCCGTTTCCAAGTCAGCTGTAGTAATTTAAAAAATTATGTTGCAGGCATATTCAAAGTTTATGATTGTCGTTATTGTGCAGTTTGATTAAGATTAATAGTTCCGTCATTGAAACTACTGCATATATTCCATCTCCCGAGCTCGTTCGGGATCATAATACTTTCAAACTACAATCAGACCTAAGGAAAGTTAGGCTTTCTTAGCCACGATGTAATAAATTTTAATTTGTTGGTTAAAAATTACTCGCAGAATTCTAAAATTTCTATAAACAAACCAGTTTGTCTACAAACTGCTGACTTTTCTTGAAGGAGACCAGTTTATCTACAAACTGTTGACTTTTCTTGAAGGAATTAACTATGGGGATCCCCATATAACTACACTTGATGGCAAGGACTACACCTTTAATGGGTATGGAGAATACACCATGATGAAAATAAACTCCAGCACAACGAACTTCGAACTGCAGGCTCGAACAGATCTTGTAACAACGGAAAGTGGAAAGATTATCAATGCCTCAATATTTAGTGCTTTTGTGGCTAAAGACCAAACAGGAGCCAAAGTACAGGTCGAAATGTCCAAAGACAAAAAATGTAAGAATTATCCATGTTATGCGTATCTTTTCTTTGTAACAAGGTATGTTTGTATCTACAATTGTACAATACATTACGATTTTTTTCAGTGATGGTTATATTGGTCAATGGAAGAGATCTGACAAATAAATTCAAAAATACAAGCTACACATTCTTGACATCTGATATATTTCTGCAGTGGGAAAATGACAAAATTTCTGCTTCATTTTTGAAATCGAGTAAGGAACAAAATAATTTTACGATCATTACTATGTACACGTATTACTTCATTACTCAAACAAAATTAATGAAGAAGGCAATGAAAATTTGAGTTTACTCATTCCAGCAATTGCTGTTAAAGTAAGTCTAGGAAAAGACTTTTTGGTCTGCGAAACGCTTGTCAGCAAGAACCATAAAGGAAAGATACTGGGCTTAATGGGAAACTTTGATGGAATTAAAGAAAACGATTTCATTCTGCCAAATGGAACACAGTTACATGAAAATTTGACAAGCACAGAGAGGCGAATATTTTATAACTTTGGACAGCAATGTATGTTTTTCCTATTTTTCAACATTTCTATATATATTTTAGCCTTTTTTCTTCCTTGTAGTATTCTAACACTATATATATATATATATATATATATATATATATATATATATATATATATATATATATATATATATATATATATATATATATATATATTAGGGATGTCAACGAGTACCCGGTTAACCGGGTACTCGATCGAACGTCCGAGTATCGAATACTAAAAATGGTACTCGGAAGTGTATTTGTTCTTATTTCAAAGTACATATTTTTATCAAAAACTTATCAAAAAAATTACTTAAATGTTCATACGGAAACTAGCGTGTCGTCATCTACACCTGTAAAACACCTGTTATCGCCTGTGGCTGTATATATACGGTAATTAATGACCAATCATGTGGTACACAGCAGTTCTCACCTATTGAAGTACTTAATTTTTGGATGGCTTCAATGATTGTTTTCAGTAAACATCGTTTAAGCATGGTCTATTATCTTCTTAAATTATTTAATATACACATGTACGGCGGCGAAGTCAGACATGCATAGAAATGCCGCTACCGAAGAAATGTTTAGAAATAATTAAAGATTTTAAAAAATGTTGAAAGTCAGTTTGCATAGTAAGTTTAGTGGGAAACAATCAATATATAAAATAATATTAGACTAGCGATCCCAACAACGTCCTTTCCTTCTCTTTCGCTAGTCTAACATCAAAACCTGCGTAACAGATTGTCTTCTCTTTTTTTGCGTTGATGAAATAGGTCCTATAAACAAGAACTGTAAACCATTTGTAATTTTTGATGTATGAATTGTGTCTTTTGTGTTTATTTGATAAATAAATTTGGTACCAAAAATTCATTTCCCTTTGACTCAGTTGTTTACATACATTTATTAAACGTGATAAAAACAGCTTTCGGATTTAACAGAGCTTAACCAGGCTCAAGAAAATTAACACACTTGTTTTTTCATTTTTACCGAGTACTCGGGTACTCGATCGGAAAAACGTCCGAGTAACCGATTATCAAAAATTGACCGATTTGACATCCCTAATATATATATATATATATATATATATATATATATATATATATATATATATATATATATATATATATATATATATATATATATATATATATATATATAGCCGTCGTCTGACAGGCATTAGTGATAAATCATTGTGCTTATAACAAAACATTAGTGCTTTTATGTTCTTCTATATCAATAATTATAGTACTTGAAGTCAACTTGCATTGCTTTTGCAAGATAAGTTGTTAATTGTGCAAAGTTAGGAAGCACGGGTTCAAATGATGCCTCTTTGGTCTTTATAATGCCTAGAAAAGATACATAATTATATATGATTAGATAATCAATGATTTCTGTTTATTGTCTAATAATTCTTTTTTTTTGAGAATGCATATTTTCTAATATATATATATATATATATATATATATATATATATATATATATATATATATATATATATATATATATATATATATATATATATAAACTTTTGCCTATATATTTTATATTACCAAAGCATATATTTTCTTATGTCAAGAACAACCTTGTGTTCTAACCAGTTTTTCCTTATTTTGTTAAAGGGTTGGTAAATGAAAGTTCGCTTTTTCAATATGATGAAAGCATGACCTACAGAAATTTTTCACATCCCGATTTTGTGCCAATATTTACCGACGAAATGGATGCAGATCGGCTAGATGATGCAAAGACAAAATGTGGTCCACGTCCTTCGTCAGCCTGTATTTCTGACTATCTTGCAACGGGGGACCTGAATCTTGCATTGTCATCTGGAAAGAAAGAGAAAAGCTCGAAAGCAGATATCGCTGTCATAGGTCGGCTTATTTTACCCACGAAAATCTGGTTGACCTCGATCTCGACTGTATATTACTTTTGGTTAGCTTTTAGGCTCTGTTTTATAGTTTTAAATTCTCTTTTTTCAGAAAATGAAACGCCGCAAATATCTGGTAATACCACAATAAATGTTGAAATTAACAAGGAGGTGGATTTGATGTTCAACGTCTCTGATGATGGAAATCAAAGACCAGTGTACAAAATTCTGCATCAACCTAGGAATTTTTTCTTCGATAATAAAACTGGAATTGCTAAATGGACTCCAACAACTGATAACATGGCAGGAATCAGGTTAATTTTACTTTAAATTATTTTATGTAATGTTTAATGTGACTTAAGAATACCATAATTCAATAATTTTCTATCGTATACTGCCCATCTGCTGAATTGGAGAACCTAAAAAGTATAATAAATTTGTTTGCTGACAGTATCATCGCAGAAGATGCAGTTGGCGCTCTATCTCCTGTATTAGATGTTATAATCAACGTATGCCCCGGATGTGGAAATCATGGTGCATGTAATTATGAATCTGCTTTTCCAACAGCAAACGATCAGATACACAGAGTCACTTGCAACTGTGAAATTGGGTATTCTGGTAAGTTTCACTTTACTTTTTTCTTCGAATGTGATGTATATCACTATAATATTACTCGTAATGCAATAAATATTTTGCAAATATTTGAATTACGTTTTTGGTATTTTAGCAGCCATTTAACAAAGTAATCCTTTGATTTTGCTGCTTATGGTTATATTTTTTTTTTCGCAGAATTGGTATTCTTAGTCAGAATTGCTGAGAATGTTTTTAATTTCTCAACATTTACGGTTGTATTCAAGAATGTGGAACCAGATCCCTTTTTTAAATGACAAAATCCTGTCAGATATCTTTTTAAATTCGCATTCCCTTATTTGTATACATTTCTTTTACTACAGTTTATATCAGAAATTGATAAGCATATTACAATGATTACCGCAGCTCAAGAATCAAAATGAATAATCTTTTTCTAAATGTTTCCTTTGCTTTCTTAGAAGTTTTAAAAAGATTTGAATTTCAAAATAAAATAGATGTACTTTCTATTTTCAGGTGAGATGTGTGAAAAAGAAACAGATGCATGTCTTCAAAGTCCATGTTCCCATGGAAGGGACTGCATTGACCTTACTCCCGAAGAAGAAGTCAAATTAGGCCGTGGATATAATTGCTCAGAATGTCCGAGTGGCTTTAAGGAAATTGAAAATAAATGTGCAGGTTATTTGCAGGTTTTGCTTCTTATAAATTTATTTTTTTGTAGAAATTTCATAAATTTAAATATCTTGTAAACATGTACCATCGTTTTTCCTTCAATAAGATATTGATGAATGTTCTTCTGCATCGACCAGTTCCTGTAACGTTACTACCGAGACTTGTGAAAACACAGAGGGGAGTTATATATGTAATTGTATCAGTGGTTTTAGAAAAGTTGATGGCATTTGTCAAGGTGAGTGCTTGTGCACTAAAAGTATATTCTACTTATATTGTTTTTTTTTTGCCCCCAACAATAATTATGCAGACCAACTTTTTTCACGAAGTGGAATAAAAAAAATATACAGATACAAAAAAAACACAATTATGTTAATATAGGCAAGTATGTTTTTCTTCTGTTGGAATGGATTTTTATGAATTATTTCATATTTAGGTATGGGGAGTTTGTGTTGTTAATATGAAAAAGAAAATACATGTATATTGATTTTACACTATCAAATATCTTTTTGAGTTAAAAACACATTTTTTGCAATTAATCAAAGTTTTGAGGAACAGTTTCGATTTCATTTCTATTAATTAATTTGTCAGATATTGACGAGTGTTTGGAGCTTTCATCGGGATGTGAACAAATCTGTCAAAATACACAAGGCTCATTTAATTGTAATTGTCACCTGGGTTTTCTCTTGAATTCAAACAGGGCTTCCTGTGACAAAGGAGGTAAACATAAAGTCTATAATTGTTCTTTGGTTTCCAGAGTTCAAATAAATATCGTTTAATAAGTTCCGTTTGTGTTAATACTAATAATCAAACCTATTGTCCTTATTTCTGAATTACATAAAAAGCAACAAAAACTTTTGCTAAGATTCAACAATTTTTTTCAACACTTCATTTAAATCATTTTAAAATATAATTTTCAGCCATAAATCCCTGTGAAAACTTTGAAAAGGAATGTGAATATTCGTGTGGCAATATTAGCGGAACCATAAAATGTATTTGTCCACTAGGATTTGAGTTGGCCAAGAACAACATTAACTGTAAAGGTATGTATTCCTTTTTCTCTTTTTGCGTACATATCATCTTAATTTCAGAGGGTTCTTTCTCAATCCCAAAAATTAGATACATGATATGATTTATGACTTGATAAAAAGACCAATGAGAAGCTCAAAATTTGCTAAATGCTAGAAAAAGTTTTCCAAAATAATTCCAAGCATTTATGTATGAATGATTTATAAAATTGCACTAACAAAGTGAACTGTCAAGACGGAGGGGAATATAAATGCAGGCACATTGGTTCTACATATATATGTCAGCTTCATGCAAATGCATTTCATTGATTGAAAATTGTATATGCATATTGTATTTTTGTGATTTATGCATTATTTCTTTATAGATACTAGTAACTGTTTGCAATTTGCACACACGTTTTACAATTTTAAATGAGGAATTTTTTTTTAACTCTAGATATCAATGAATGCGAACTACCTACTTCCAAGTGTGAACAAGGTTGTATCAATAGTAAAGGGTCATTCAATTGCACGTGTCGATCTGGGTACTTCCTGAACGAGGATAAAACATCATGTTCAGGTAATATAATGAAACTTTTCTTTTAATTTAGATCATACAGTTCACTGTGCTATGACTTGAACAAACTTATAAGAATCAGCTCTAACTTGTTAATTTCTATGCTAGATTACTTACAGTTATTGATGCTGGTTACACTATGCACTCATTTTTTTTTCCAAACCGAAGCTTACCAATTACTAGTGATTTTGTAATAAACATTAATGGTCTTCTGGAGTGAGTTTAACATTTTAGAGAGTGGGGTGTGAGGTGTTCTTATCAATTAACAGACGGAATTCCTATCGTGGGGTAGAAGTAAAGTTAACAAATTTTGATAGAAAACGGCTTAATTTAAATCTTTCTGAGTCTAAATTTGAAATATAGCATTTTCTCTTAAGTGTCTAAGTTTTATATCAATTCCCTTGTCAAATATGATATTTTCTTTCCATAAGTGACATGTTTCTTAAAAATATTCAAATATTGAACGCCATTAATTCTTTATTTGAAAAAAACGAAATGTCTATCTGACTCTTCCTAACATATTTTTTTTCATATTTTGTGGATATTATTTACGTTGAAAAGTGATTATGTGAAAACAAAACTATTTTTCAAATACCAAAAATATGAAATTAAAAAATGCTTTTCTGGCTTGTAAAGATGAAATCATATATTGAAAGAGCTAGATATTTTATCCAGCCAGTATTTAAAATATTGTTTTTGTATGCTTCCTTAAAATTTTGGAAAGAAACTCCATGATTTTAAATACCTTTTTGAGTTATTTTAAGAGTTAAAGTTATTTACACTGTACTATAATTGAAGAGCTTTTGACGTTGAAACTCTTATTTTTTCATTTAAAGAAATAATAATTATTGTATAAAATTTCAGCAAATACATTGTTACTGAGGTTTTTAAGGGCCTCAAATATAACGATTTAATTTTAAAAGGTAGGAGAAATCCTATTCTGGAAATGAGGGATGGAGGAAATTCTCTCCTCTGTAAGATTTCCCCGAGGGAAAATTCTACTCTAATGAACATGTTTCGGGGGAAAAGGTGGCTACAAAATTGGTACAAAAGCCATTGCATGCCTTTCTTTGTAGAATGTGTTCTGCCCATGTACGGAGAAAACTGCAGCCAGGTCTGTGAATGTGGACCAGGTGTGGATAGATGTGACCCAGTCAGTGGGTGTGTCTGTCTGTCAGGATGGACAGGTGTCAAATGTGATGAAGATATTGATGAATGCTCAATAGACCCATTTATATGTGGTTCTAATCGAGTATGCCAGAATCTTGAAGGTTCATACTCGTGCATTTGTGAGAAAGGTTTCAAAAAGGGCAATGAGAAATGCGAAGGTAAATTATTTTTTTATAATATAAAACATGGAAAATGAGAATCAAAATGACTGCGTGTGAATTATTTCAATGCAAAATTATTATTTTAGATATTGACGAGTGTGCTGACACAAGCCTTAATGATTGTCCTGAATCAACAACATTTTGCCAAAACACGCATGGTAGTTATTTATGTGAGTGTCAAAAAGGATTCCAAAAACAGAATGACAGATGTGAAGGTGAATATAGTCTATGAACTTTAGACACGAACTGTAATTGTGTATGCAATTCTATTCTGAAACTTTTCAATAAAAACAAATACCTGTTCCTGCCTCCTGTATTTATTCAAGGAAGACTTCTATAGTATTAACATAAAGTAAACTAAATATGCTTGATAAAGTAAACTAAATATGCTTGAATTGTCCTAATTTTTTAGATATAAATGAGTGTGATACGGGAATTCATGGCTGTTCTCAAATGTGTATCAATGTAGATGGTGGCTATAACTGTGCCTGTTACTATGGATTTACTCTACGAAATGACCGAAAGACGTGCGAAGAAGGTCAGCCTTATAGCTTTAAAGGAATATGAAATAATTAACATTTTTTTCCTTTAAGTTTTTTCCTTACGTTTTTTATTGAAATGTTTTTGAACTATCAGTGCCTGATTTATAAATTTATGTATGTCTTTTATCAAAAGAAACAAATCTGTTGAAACATTACATCGATTTCAAAAATCGACAAAAGCATGAAATCAGTGATCAAAAGTTTTTAAAGGTTCATTGTAGGGATGTCTATTTTTTCAATAATTCATTTTCGAATATTCAATGAAAGTATTCGAATATATTTGAATATTCGATAAAATAAATAAAATATGTTTTATTTTAAATATGCATCATCCCACTCTCATGAAAGGTATAGCGCAGGTATATTTATATTGGATGTAAAATTGTATAAAGACTTTTGTAGTTGTACACTAAGTATTTTCATTTGATATTTGTCAATGTTTGAAATAAATAAATTTAAATGTAGAAAGGTATAATTTTAACAAATGAAGCATGTGTATCTATAGTAGCTCCAACTGAGGAACCAGTCGTCTTATCAAAGGCAAGATAGTTGTAATGGTATACTGTTCAGATTTCAATACGTGTAAAAAAAAATTACGATTATCTGCCTAATAAGAGATATGATTAAAATCTTTGATACAATGTTTTTGAAATATAAAAAAAAAATATTTCCATAGACATTTTTCCTAGGTAATTACTAGTAATCATTTCCCGATAATGAGTATAAAATTCAGGATTATGTACAACATATAATCATTTATTCTGAAATTGAGCCCTTTACAATATTAATTACAGCCTAATTCTATTGGACATTTATTTAAATGATCAATAATTATTAAATTTGTTTTGATCAGCATAATCTTCACGTCTTTTCGACATTCTAAGAAGGTTTTCATTTTGTTGTCCTCGATTCTAGATCCGATCGCATTTAACTAATAAAAACTACGAAAGTACGTTTTGCATTATACATAAAGCATTATTGTACAATTCTTTAGCACCTTACTCAAAACAAAATACATGTAACTTAGTAAATCTATAAGATAAGAAAGTAGTGAAAGAAATCAGGCGATCGAAATTGATCGCTAGTAAATTATACAGGGATAATTCCAGCACTGTACTAATCAAAATTTATTAATCACAGTACTTCTTTTTATGAAATCTGAAAAACACCGAATATTCGAATCTTAAATTTATATTCGAATATCAAATCGTCGAATGAATATTCGAATGTTCGAATATTCGTTGCCATCCCTAGTTCGTTGCGATAAATTTGACGCAGATAAATGTAGCTGGCAATGGGATTTAAAATATAGATTTATATATACATGTAGATATCATTACAAATTTCAATATGAAACTGCCCTGTATAAGATTTACCAGGATGACATTTTTTAGGTTTACACATGTAAACGTATGACACAAATATTTAACTTTAATCTGTTGTCAAGTATGTAAATATGTGGAGCTATAAAGTGCGATGGTCACGCCTAAGTCCGATGGTCTGCACCAAACTGGGATGGTTTGACGCGCCAAAATCCGACGGTAAAGAGAAAAAAATATGTCAATAACGTCATAGTATTATTGCACCAAATTGTGAAGCTGCGCCACTCCAGTTTTATATAAATACAAACGAATGTTAAAAAATTTGATCGCCGAAGTGAAATGTTTCAGTAGAATAAGCAAAAATATAATTGCTCCTTCTCAAGTGGGTAGAAGGCTAAACTTAATCTCGGGGATCGGTGCGAGAATAACCCTAATCGGTCGAAAAGTGTGTAACATCCTTGGTTGGGTAGAGGCTTACCCTAATCAGTCGAATAGTGTGCAAGGACGTACCCTGAATATCTTTGGTGAGTATAAGTTTAAGCATATTCAGTCGAATAGTGCATGAGGGTACTACGACGACGTGTACCCTAAATTATCTCACGGGTGGGTGCGAAGCTCTACCATAATCAGTACAATAGTGTGCAAGGACTAACCCTTATCACTCGAGTAGGGTGCGAGTACTAACCCTACGCGTAATATCTCAGAATAAGCAAAATCAGTCAAATTGTATGCGAAGACTAATCCTAAATTGTTGGCCTTTGAATGTCAGACAACGGCGTCAAGGGTTGAAGTCGGAATATTATGGTGTCATAGACATTGATTGTTTCTCCACGCCATCGGACCTTGTCTCATAGGAAACGAGCAAGCGGACACCAAACCATCGGGGATTAACGGAAACCATCGGACTTTGGCGTAACCATCGGACTTTGGAGTCCTACAAATTAATATCAATTGCAATTATAATTATCAAAGCATTTCTATCATATAAAATTAGAATTAACTGACGCTGGTCGTTTTTTAACTGCTCTTTAATCACGAAAAAAATACTTCAATAGTCATGCTTTATACGTATTTTAATAATGAATTGATTTTCTCAGTAAAAGACTCTTGTTCCCTATATCCTGGGCTTAGCTGTAGTTATGCTTGCAAGCCGTCTGTACGCGATCCAGGCAACGGGGTTTGTTTCTGTGAACATGGATACGAGCTTGGCAATGACCAGAAAACCTGTATTGGTAAATATTGAAATGTTTCAGGCACACTCAATGTGAATAAAATTTATATCATTCTCTTTAGAAGATCAGAATGGAACAAGCAGGGTTTTTTTGCTTCCATTCTAGATATTAATGAATGTAAAAGGAACTCGGTGTGTGATCAGAATTGTACAAACACGATAGGGTCCGTTGAATGTGATTGTGCTATTGGTTACGAGCTACAAAATGACGGTAAATCCTGCAAAGGTAATAAAATTCATTTAAAGTTTGATTTGAAATTCAAAAATTACGAAGGTAAATCTTTCTCTCTCTCTCATCTTTCGTTCTCTTGACAGTTTGTAATGGGTATTTTTATGGCGTGAACTGTGCAACACCATGTAAATGTGGACGAGGTGCAAAGTCGTGTCATCCTGTAACTGGTTGTGTCTGCGAGCCAGGTTGGACTGGAGAGACTTGTGAAATGGATATCGATGAATGTAAGAATAATCCATGTATGGAAGAACATCAGATATGTGTAAACACTCCAGGTTCATTCCGATGCGACTGCGTTGCAGGTTTTATAAATGTCAACGGAAATTGTCTAGGTAACTGCAACCTTACAGTATTTGAAATATATAAAAATATGTATGAAAATTTACAAAAAATATATTGTAAAAAGTAAAGTATGTTTCTTAAGTATTATGTTAATATTAATTCCTGTAGACATTGACGAATGTGAGAATCCAACAGCTTGTACACAGAAGTGTATAAATACAGAAGGAAGTTACACATGTGGCTGTAAAGCTGGTTACAGATTAGCAGATACAGATGATTGCAGGGACATTGATGAATGCAATAATGTCAGATGTCATGATTGCTCTAATTGGCCTGGAGGCTTCCAGTGTTCCTGCAATGAAGGATATGAGCTCAACTCAGCTACCCTTGAATGCAATAGTCAGTATCTTAAATTCACATTTTTAGGGAAAATATACATAACTCAAACCTTTCCAAAAAAGTTATCTGAAGATATTCCATGTTAAATTCCTAATTCTTACAATAATATTTACATTCCCAACTGTTGTCACCGTGATAAAGACTTTGAAAGTCAGGTTTGTTGATTTCTTGATCATTCGGGTGGAATGAACATTTCTCAATTGAAATGCTTCTTAAAGGACTCATCGCATGTTTCTAAATTATTTGAAATTAAAAGCGTATTACGTTCCTTATGACCACAGTTAATAAATTCTGTGTTTTTACTGTGGATAAACCGCGATTTTTTTTAATTAACCAATTATTGACTCAAATGAAAACCCCGGAATTAAAAATCTAAGTTAATTAGATAGCGATCACGTGACCCTGTGACGTCAAAGGCGACAAAAGCTGATCAGCTCTTTACGTTAATGTTACTAAAATATACGCGATACATCCTAAATTTTCTGCGTTGTGTACGACCAATCACTGAATTATCGATATGAAATTGAATATCCAACCTTATATGTTGAATTGTCAGCAGGAAAAAATCTGAAAATCTGCTAACATTGTACAAATAGCAGGGACAATAGCGAGGAAGATGCAGCGAAGACGAAGAAACCCGCCATCGCAGTACAATTTGATTTGTCATTTTATCACATGTATTAACTTATTTGATTCCCTAAGTTAACATTATATAACTTTGTTAGTCTTCGTTTTCATTTTTAACTTAATATTAATTTATGCAAGTATGCCTTCAGATGTTTTGTAAAGAATGGCGGCCTAATAATTTCCCGATCACGAAACATTGCAGTAATCAGAGCTACAGATTCTAAATGTTTGGAATAAAAACCGAAAATTATCAAAAACCTTATACCTTAAAACTAGTTAATGTTTCCATAGTAATTGAAAAGCACGTTAGGAATTAATTTTTTCAGCATTTTTGTAATTAAGCTGCATTTGATGTTAATAACTCCCTTGATAGTGTGCATATTCTTACTTCCCTATCACTGAATTGTCGCCTATAATGTCAGAGCAGTATTTTGCCGAAATCCGACTGAAATATGCATATTGCTGTATTTTAATTTCCATTCTTAAAATCTCTTATAATATGCTTTCAACAACGTTTATTGTATTCAGTATTTTAATAAACAAGGTTGTAGATAATTTTTTTTTCATAAAATTACGATTTTTGAAAGATCATGCGATAGGTCCTTTAAATGTCAATCAGTGTGTAAATGAATGGCGTATGAATAAACTCAAGAAAAAATAACTTGTTTACAAAAGAAGCAGGTGAGTTTTTTCTCATTACTAATAAAAAAAGAAGAAGATTAAAACAATAATTTTTATGAACTTTAATTGGAATATTGGCTTTATAAAAATACATTTTCATAACTCCGATGAACGTCTGCTGGAAAGCGCGACATTAGACACTGTGGTCCATCTCCGTCAATTGTCGGCCGAGAAATCGTTACATACACTGAGTCTCTGACTTTTCATCTAACGCAGACATCGTCCTACAGACGCAGCCCTTGTGATCTGCTTTTGTAAACAACGAATATTCCAGTTCATCTGCTATTTTGTCATCTACACAAACAAGTTTTCTCTCCATTTCTCGATATTGCAGCCCGACATTCAATAGGGCTGACACATTCAGTACGTGACACGTGTGCGTGCGCTTCCTAGATCTAGGTTACATCTTTCATCAAAGCCAATCAAATGACTTTGATCATAGTATTAAAAAAAATCCTTTTGTTGTCCATTTAATAAAATAACAAAAAAATCATTAAATTTGTTTCAATCTTTTATCGGACTATTTTTTCTAGTTAAATTTGACGTCAGCGGGCGGGGCAATCAAAATTAACATGGAATGCCTCGTGAATTTCAATTCTATTAAAATAGGCAGCATTTTTTTTTATCTATTTGTGATTTTATTTCACACATGAATGTAAATATAAAGACTCACTGTCTAGTTTGTTCCGCATTTCAGGGACATTAATAACATTTGAAAAAGTGGGATTACTTATACATAACGTGCTTCGCCCGTTATGCAAATTATCCCATATTTCCAGCTATTGTTGATGCCCTGGAATTCATAATACAATACACTATGTGTATATTAGACATAAAGATAGCATAAATTTTAACTTTGTATTGCATATTCTATAACTGATTGTAGATGTAAATGAATGCATTGATGGTAACAACCAATGTTCTTCTAACGCGAATTGCACAGATACTATTGGTAGTTACGAGTGTAGTTGTCATCAAGGATATAAAGGAAATGGGCGTGTTTGCACAGGTTGTGTATTGGGACTTCTGTATATCATAGATTGCAAGCAAATATGTAATTTAATACTTGTTAACCAAAACAATAGATGATATTTATTTTTTTATAAAAGCATATCATCATGACTACAAAAGGGATTCCGTTTTTCACATAATTTCAGCATGCCAACCCTTTACTTTTGGGGAACAATGCTCTCAGAAATGTTCATGTGTTCTTGACAAAACGAAAGAATGTGATCCTTCATCTGGAATGTGTCGTTGCAAATCTGGATGGGAGGGAAAAGACTGCTCGCAGGATGTAGATGAATGCAATGAAGGCCTTAAACATTGTGACGAGGATTTGCAAGTCTGTGTTAATACACCAGCTTCCGCTCACTGTGAATGTCGATATGGAGGATTAAACCTTGATAGGTGTATTCGTGAGTACATATATAACTGATTAACTGATACATGTATTAAGCCTCGATTAAGAAAGAAAGATAGAGAGAAAGAAAGAAATATCAAGATCAGCAAATAAAGATGTAATAATACCAATATATTTGACATAAAATAAAATTTCTAGATTACACCAATGACCCTTCATATTTCTTTCTTTCTGGAAATTACCTTGTTTATATTTTATCTTTAAATGCAGATCCAAGGCCAGCGTATAGCACAAGTAAGATTTAATCTATGTTTATATCATTTAAGTGCATTTCCTTACACTTTTTGTTGATGACTGGTACATTTAACATGTTAATGTTATTATATCAATAACGTTTTAGATGATGAAAAACACTTTTAGCTAATTGTTCATATTTAATAAAACTTTATTTATTTCCAAATAAGGAAAGTACAATGCTATGCCGTAGGCTAGGAATAAATAACAAGAAAGAAAAGAAATTGGTATATTTCTTTGTACATGTAAGGGTTATTTCTATTAAACTGTACGTCCCAAATGTCACAAAAACGTCACAAAGAAAATGTGTACCGGAAATTCCATATAGCCAATTCTACAGACACAGAATTGTAAAGCGATTGAACTTATGTGGCAATTTTGGTGTTTACTTTTTTAAATTTTTTTTTTTTATTGTTTTATGTTGTGATTCTTTTATGAAAAGAAATAATTTTTACAACATAGATGAGACGGAAACAAAAGTAAAACTGGAAGTCAAGTTTGAAACTAATACAAGTCGACAGGAATTTTTAACACGCACTGAACAATTACTGGAAGAATTCGAAGCTGTGGTAAATTATTGTTTGCCCAAAATATATTTGTATTTTATGAATAATTATAAAGTTTGTTATGAAACAAATTTCAAGATATGTTTTTTTTTAATAGTTAGAAAGTTACTACAGGAAGGAAAACGTTAGTGGATTTTTTCAAGTTAAAATCCTGTCTATCCGGTATGTAAACAAAGACAATTATTTTATAAATTCACTTTTAATATTTTTTAAAGGTTATTAATATATTTGTTGCTGCTATACTGAAGAAAGCATATTTAGCTTACACAATTCGATTTTCAAACTGACTTTTCTTCAAGGTTTGGAAGCTTGATTGTTGACTATGAAATAATTGGAGACAAGAATGATTCCATGAGCCTCAAAAGCGATCTGGCCACAAGTATGACAAGGCTACTCAAAGGCCAAAGAAAACTCCTTGTCTTACAACAAACACCAGCCATATTGCACATCAGAATAAAAAACGAAAATGATCTGACGATTGAATGTAAGTTATAAAGTATAAAGGGAACCAGAATTTCGAAAAGTATTGTTTGATAATCGTATTTAAGAATATTGCATGGCCTATTGTTTTGATTGAAGACGTTTCTGCATCTTCGAGCCCCTGTTTTGTGTTCGGGAGTTTTGGCGCTACCTGTCCAGCAGGAAAACAATGTGACGACTCTTCAGGTGTGGCAGCCTGTGTGTAAGTATCGTAATGCACTTGTATTAAACAGATTTAAATCCAAACCCTTATATACGAACCCTTAAATCTGTGTTGCTCCACCAGGCCCCAAATTAGATTAATAGAATCTTGTATCTTGTACCTAATACAACGGATAGATTTTGTACGTCTCAATTTTTTCAATTTTTCTTACAGGAATGTATCAGATAAAGGTAATTGAAACCCAGGTTTTATGAATTAAATTTCAAGTATTTTAGTCACATGAAATATTGAGAATTGTAAATTAAGATATCTTGAAAATTAAATGTTCTAATCAAAAAAAGCAGTCATCTGTCATGAGAATTATATTTTCCAAAATGGTCTTGCTACAGCAAGTAAATGAGTTTTAAATGTAAATGTACATCAGTTTTAATTATAACCAATTTTGAAAATTTCAAATATATTTTAGATATGCCAACTCTTTTAATTGTTGTTGGAATAAGCGTACCACTGTGTATCCTTATAGTCGCCTTGGTGGTCATGTACATATACCATAACAAAAATTCTAATCTTACTAGAGTGTAAGTATTCAGAGTCTTTATCCAAATTTTCAGAGATAAATAATAGGAAATAGCACAATTAAAGAGAAAAAACATTGGAAATTTAAAGACAACAAATCCTATAAATAAAGTTGAAATATAAACTCAATGAATGCAGTTAAAGTATATTGGTATGACTTTAAGAAAAATATATAGCCCATTTTTGTTGTATTGATATTAGGGATGGCAATTCGTAACCAGTTAACCGATTACTCGGTCGGAACGATGGTAATCGGTTAGTCGGAAAAAAAATTATATATGTGTAAACTTCCTTAGAAATCAATTTTCAACGTAAAAAATCTCTGAATGTTGATAAGTTTCCAACATTTATTTCAGCCGCCCTGGAGATAATAAACTAATTTAGGCTCTCCAAAGTGAGGTCGTTGGGGGTAATTGGTCAGTTTGTGAAGTGGTAAATGTTGTTTGAACACCATGCCGTTAAACTACATGTCCTGTATCTCTTTAATGATAGAAATTAATTACAATTACTTTTGAGTAATTTGAACTGACTACAATGTTTATCTTAACCGTCTATCTTCTGGAGTTGTCTGCCAAATTATATTTTTTAAAGAAACAAACATTGCCATGCAATTAAGTGTTAGTTCGGTTTCATTTTCTGTTAATGGTGTTAATGCAAAATGATCCTGCGTAACATCTGGTCTGAAAAATCATCAGTCTTAAATATCAGAGGGATATTTTAAGGTTTTTGTATTTTTGTCTATCAAAATTGAAATACAGCATATAAAGTGAAGTGATCAAGCATATACAAAATATTACTTAGCTTTTTTTTTCAAAAGTTTTGTTGCGTATATGAATAGAGTTTACTGAAAAAAAGAGGTCAGAAAAATGTGTATTTGATACGATTAATCGGTCGGAACATTTTTTGGTTAACCGATTAGCAGTTTTGTATTCAATTGCCATCCCTAATTAATATATATTACATGTATATTGGGGAAGACTTGTATTTCCCTATACGTATTATAATTTCTTATAATTTTTTTAACAAAGAGCTTTACACATGTAGCGTATATGATTGGACTACAAATACCACTTTCTTTTTTTTTAAATTATAACAGTTAAAAAATAAGAAAAAAAACCATTATCAAATATCTATAGAGAGAGTATATTTCTCAATATTCTTTGCAGAATTGATATTATGGAGACAAACATGAAAATGAAGGAATACAAAGAGCTTTCTTTTCCGTCCGAAGAAAAGAAAGGGGTTCAAAAAGAATTCGTCAGACGTAAGTGATTTATCTGTTAAAACTTCCAATTTTATGTAGAATATCTTCTTTTCAAGTGTTACATGTAACCCTCCTGGAGGAATTTGATGAACTGCATCAACATCGAAAATAAAGGTTTTGTCATATTCGTAAATTCAAACACATTTCTTATATATACATCTTATAAATTTTATCTTTTTTTTATTGTTTCAAAAATGCAATACGGTAACCATTTTTTGTTCATTTCATAATGATAGAAAATCAAAGTTTAAATGATATAGCCTTCTGCTTTTTCACATAAATAGCTGAACATTTTTCTTACATTGTTTATCTTTTGAGATTGTAAATTAAATATGAGGGGAGAGCCTTCCTAAGTATAAGAACAAATTGCCTTTTACATGTCTTCTTTTTCATTATTATTTATTTTTTAATTTTTGTTTACATGTATAAGTTTCATTGTTATTTCATCATTTTATCATCATAATGAATTTTTATTCTTGTAAAAAATAAAAACCAATCATTGAAATACCCCTTTTTCTTTATCCGTTGCAGCTGCATGGGTTTACTAACAACTGATGACCTCAGCTGAAAACACAAATCGAAAACGGAAAAAAATGACCTCTTGTATTAATCTTGAGAGACTTGTTAATTGAATATTTTATGTAGTATGAAACGAAATGGTTTGTAGTCGCTTAAACGATGTTCTTAAAGCATGAATAATACAATCTTATACATATTTTTTGTAAATTGAAATGATTTAAAAAATGTTTCAGGGCAGATATTCCACATGAAAATGCTGTTATGCTACACTTCTTTGTTGAAAATGATACTTTTAATACGATTTGATACGATTTATTTGAATAAATACCAGTTGATTTTCTTGATCGTTTTGTCTTTTATTTGCCTCATTCTGAGTGATGAACTGAATTTTAATCTAAACTTAATATTATTTACAATGGAAGCCCTTGCTTTTGTTCTTTGCAAGATCTTTCTTTTTGAATCATTTTTGCAAAGTTAGTCTACATTATGGTAACCTAATCTCTTATTTCATTGTGATAGTTTAGCGTATTAGATAGACGCAATTCCCATACCCTTATTGGGATGTATCTATATAATAGGTAACATGTGTTTGACTTTAAATGATACTGATACCAGAGTTTGTCGTTTTAAATGTAATTGATATGTTTGCATTGATTTGTACAACAAATATTTTTTGGCGTCTTTAACATTCAACAACTTTAGTAATTGCCCTTGGGCTAGTTAGAAAAAAAATCTTTGCAAGAATACTATTGAATACTAATGAATTGCGTAAATAGATGTATTGCCATTATTCAAATAATTGATTTAAAAATCAAATATATGATGTAGCATATTTTATGTTAAAAAAGAGATTATTATCTGTAATATTAAACTGGATAAATAATCCTATCACTTTTTCAAGTATGATTTACACAGACCTTTAAATGCTTTAAAATGAAAGAACTTTCTTCATAGCTAAATGTATATAGTTTTGAAATGTTATAGATGTTTCAGACATAGAAAGTAACTGAAAGTATATAGAATCTTTTGATATATACATTTTTAAAAGAAGACTTTGATTTGACTAATAATAGAACATTATCTTGCATAAGAGAAATATAAATTGTTAAAGACAAGAATAGGGAAAAGTATTTATTTCTATTTAAAAGATAACTTCAAACTGATCAGTGCCATTTGAGATCCATCCTATCAATGACATAATAAAAGTACTTTGGGAATATATTTCAACCTCTTATTTTTGGCTGCTTTTATGTGCTTTTATTCTTATGTTCATCAGACAAATTTATCTAGGTCTTATCTTACATTTTACTCTTCTTCTATTTTTTTTTTTTTTTTTTTTTTGAAAATACCCTAAATGCTGAACATTTATTCTTTATTCGCTTACATGTAACTCAAATTTATTTACGAATACATGTAGTAAGTTCGAGCGAATTAAAATCTATTGAGAGTATATTTCTGTATTCCTTCAAGAAAAAAAGGGAAAGTTGACTTCACTTCAAAGGCAAAATGAATGTGTATAGATCTTTCTGAACGTTACCTTCTTGCCTTCTTGTTGTGGATACAAGTATATTAAATAAAAATTGCAATCTAATAAGCTAAACAGATATGTTCTTACGAATAAAAAAGCGAACTGCGCTGCCTGTATCATTAAACAGATAGATTTTTTTTGATACCTGATCAACAAATCTAAACTTATTACATGTATATAAAAAGTAAGAACATAGTGATTTGACATTTTAGTTGCAATGACGTCGACAACAACTTTGACTTGGAACAAAAATATATATAATTTGATTTTCGCTGATTGAAAATGCAAAACATTTTTCATAGAAAAACTATACATATAGCATATCTAGCTAAAAACAAAACCGTTTTGCGATGCAAAATGATGACAAATAAGTTTTTATGATAAGAAATTAAGAAAGGTTTTTGCTCAAATGTTTGACCACATTGAAAATTATTGATCATTTAAGATACATATGACCTTGTAAAAATAAGTGCTTGCACACCAAAAGACCGTTTATCTTTAAGAAATCTGGCTGCATCTAAAATGCTATGAGCCAAAATTTTGTAAGATACATTGTTTTAAAAGATGAGATAAAGAGTCGATACCATATTGGATGACCAAAATAAACTTCCTCGTCGTTGGCTATGTTTATAAAGGATGGCGCCAAATCTTTTTAAATGAAGGTTAACTGTGAACAGAGCTGTCCATTTTGGAAGTAACCAATAGGTAAGAAAGAAGTGTAGCTAATCTTAAGTAGATAAGTATTCCGATTTTCACAAAGCAAATGTGTTTGGGGTTTTTTTTGGTCTCTCTCTCTCTCTCTCTCTCTCTCTCTCTCTCTCTCTCTCTCTCACCAATCTCTTCGTATGACTGCTTTTTTGTCTTTCATAAAGTGTTATTACTGTGAAATTCTTTACGGAAGCAATCCTTAATAAAAATTTACTAAAGTTAACTATAGAATAAAGCTAACTATAGTTTACTACAGTTAATACGTACTTTGATACTATTTAAACTAGACTGAAACTTTTTTTGAGATTCTGAAGTTTAAAATCTCTTAATGCAATAGCAATTATTTAACATTTGTGAATAATATGTTAATATACAAGTAATATGCCCTTTTAATATACAAAATACGCATGTATGAATTATAGAACAAAAAAAAAAGTCTGAAGCCATAATAAAAATAGTTTGATTTACTATAGTGAAGACTTCAATGCTATAGCTAACTCTTGTAAAGTAAAGTTAACTATGGTATATTTTTAGAGGTACCACCAATGATATCGTACATTATTATCCGTTTGGTTTGAGGCATTTAAGATTTAGTCAATGTCTAAGGAAGATCGTATTTATCATAACTTTGATAGTGTGTCCAAATTGTCAAAAGATAAATTATTTCATTGTACATGTAATCATCGTATGATTACTTCTACAGTAAACTGCAAATCGCAGAGGGCAAGGTGGCTAAAATTATACATTCAGTACAGAGTGCAGTAAAGCAAAAAACTAAGCTTTCAGTGTTACAATTTGTAGGTTTTTTGAATTCGTGATTTACGATTCCTTTTACAAAGATGAAATTGCTACTATTCTTGGAGTGAACATAACAACAAGTTGATAAAAAAATATATACAATGCACTAATTAATTTACAAAACACATATATTTCGATTGTCTATAATGATTTCTGCATTAATTTTTGGTGTTTGGAATGGAGACTGCAATCAGATTACTTAAAAAAAAATTAATTTACTTCCCAGTCTCTTGATGTTTCATTGACTTACAACTTTCTATACTTTATGCAATAATTCCTAACGATAAATTAAAATCTAGACTTTTTGATATCATTGACAACTGCTCCTTAAATAAAAAACGGAACTCGGAAATTTTCACATCTTTGTGATTGGTCATCACCAAAGTTACTTCGTTAAAAACGACTCTGATTGTACAGACAAGTGCTCTAAAGTTGATATTTAAAGGATGCTGGAGTTCTTCATTGACAACATTTATGTAGTCTTTGGAGACAAAGTTTTCCAATAAACTGTTGGAATTTCGATGGGCACTAATTGTGCTCCTTTATTAGCTGACCTGTTTTCATATTCTTATGAAGCAGAATTTACTCAAAAACTTCTACACGTGAAGAGGAAAACACTAGCTGTGGCCTTCATTCAACATTCAGATATATCGACGATTTTTATCAATTAACAATATTTATTTTCATTCTTTTGTCGACTCGATATATCCCAGTGAATTTGAAATAATAAACAACTAAATTGTATAACAAACGAGATGACTTTAGCTTTTCCATCGTGAACTTTCATTTTTTATGTAGTAATGTTCCACTATCACCTGCTTCTGGTGTTAATGTCTCCCAACCTACTCGCTACTCAGGAGCTTGATCTGAGTACGATCAAAATTTAAAGCGAGGCAGGCAACTCACTGATAAGTTGTTGTTAGAGGAATTTAAACAACCTCGTTTAAAGTCAGCATTTCGTAAATTTTATGGTCGTTATAATGACATTGTTAGCAAATATAAACTATCATTGGGTCGTATTTTGGCTGACTTGTTTCATACCAATTGAAAGGCCTTTATTTTTGTACTGAATTGACTACGGATAGTTCCGTCTACCTGATTAATACATAGGGCTCACGGCGGGTGTGACCGGTCAACAGTGGATGCGTAATTCTCTTAGGCAACTGATCCCACCTCTGGAATTTCCAGGGGTCTGTATTTTAAGGCCTCTTCGCATATTTGTATTGTTCTTGGATTTTTTTTTTAGATCGATCACTGTTCGTTATCTTTACCTTTTACTTTGCAAGTACTTATAGAAATGTGCAATATATTTTGAAAGTAAACATTTTTAAAATATGTTTTGATATGAAGCCTTATTGATATACCGAGTAAAATTTTTCTTTGATTAATAGTTTACCTAGTTTGGAACATTTCGTTATTGAACTGTATTCTAATGTAGCAGCATACTTTTTGTGTTTGACAAAACCAAAAATCAGGCTATGGAAATATCAAAGATTATTGATATTAGCATAGATGGAATTTTATCATATATATACTTTCTTTAAATGCGATATTTGTTAAACAAGCTTCATTTTGTTAAAAAATTGACTATTCTAAAGAGGTATGCTTCTATTGAAATATAATCTTCCTACCCACCATGATAAAGAATAAAAAATATTAAGGAGAAATGAGGGTGACCCATGCTTTTCTTTGTGAAAGCCATTTGAGATTGACTTTTTTCCAAAATGTTCAAAAATTGTATGAAATATCGATTTTAACTACTTTTTTTAAAAATATGAACAATAAGCTTTGTGTGAATATAAATACTCTAGGATAGTACATGTATTAATAGTTTTGGTAAGTAAAAAATACCATTGAAACCTAGAATATAAATGGAGACTTTTTTTTCACTTAAAATAAGAATATTAACATGAACAAAGTGTTTTTTAATCTTCTGTAAAGAAGTTATATATTAATATGAATATGTATATAAATATACACTTAATCAGTCTGATAATATCCACCTTAAAAGATACGTTAATAAACATTGTTTACACAGGACATATTACTCTTCCATCAATTCATCTCTTTATACTACTATATTTAAAACAGAATAAAATATTAAGAATGCCACCTACATCTGTATAAACCTTATGCATATGTCACAATTCAGCAGTAATAGATACTATGATATGCAATTTTTTTAAAGAACATAAAACTGCAAACAAAATTAGGAAAAAGGGAAATATTATACCTATATAATTGATTGTATAATTTTTTTTAACAATAGTTATATAACTTACACATATAAAAACATGATTCCTGTTGC